CACATTGGAGGACTGTTCTACACTTAAGAAATTCAAGAACAAAACCCCATACTGGTAGACTTGAGAATGTAAATTCTGTTAACTTAACTGGCAGTAAGGTTACGGACAGTACATAACCGGCGGTAAGGTTACAAAGGGTACATGTAACTTTTGGCAAGTTTGGCACTGTAGCATTTACTTTGGACTATTCAAGAGAATGCTTTTAAAGCTCTACATGTTATTGCAGTACATTCTGTGACAACAGAAACCCAGGGTTAATGTTGATCTGTAGAGGATGTGTTTGCTAAATTATGGCACATCAACATGATGGATTCTTATTACATAGCCTTGAAAATGTGATTATCAGGATAATGTAGGTCCTTGGAAATGTTTTACTCTCCAATTAGTGTCATGATGAGCTGAAAGCAGTGCATCCTGATTTGTTCTGTAAATACCGGGGTTAAAGGCTAAAAGTTAATATGCAAAAACAAATACAGTTTTACTTGAGGGATGGGATTATGGGCAGTTTTTGTCTGTAATGTTGGTAATCATTCTTTTAAATAAGCTTTTCGTATTGGAATAGCTATGGATTTATTGGAAAGTTGCAAAGACAGTATAGACTACTCATAGACTCTTTGCCTAGTTTCTGCTATTGCTAATAAGCTTCCTGTCCCTTTAATATTTTTATCATTTTAATTTCAAAGTAAAGCATTCCTCACAGGTGATTAAAGATAGCCTATGGTCTTTCTTTCCATCCCTTTGTCTCTGATCTTACAAACCTCTCTGTGTACGTATATTGTCAGAATTTTAGCATACTATTTTGTTGTAATTATGCATTTTACTTTGCACCTTGCTTTTCCACCTGGTACACCCTAGATATCCAGTGCTCTGCCTCCCAAGTGTTAAAATCATCTGTCTGCCTTTTTTTTTTTTTTTTAAGATTTTTATTTATTTATTTGAGAAGTAGAGTTACAGACAGTGAGAGAGAGACAGACAGACAGAAAGGTCTTCCATCCACTGGCTCATTTCCCAAATGGCCACAACGGCCAGTGCTGGCTCGATCTGAAGCCAGGAGCCCAAGCACTTGGGCCATCCTCTGCTGCTTTCCCAAGTCATAGCAGAGAGCTGGATCGGAAGAGGACTAGAACCGGCACCCACATGGGATACTGGTGCAGGAGGTGGAGGATTAACCTACTACATCACAGCACTGGCCTTCATCTCTCTGCTATACAAATACTGATTTCCAGGTCTCATCCACAGAGGTTGTTTTCTCATTCTGTGGGGAGGCTCAGGAGTCAGAATTGTTTTAAGCTCCCTATATAATCTAAAGTACGTCAGGTTTAAGAATGCTACTTGGGGCTGGCATTGTGGCATAGTGGATTATGCTGCCTCCTGCAACACCACCATCCCATATGGGTGTCGGTTTGAGTCCTGGCTGCTTCCCTTTCAATCCAGCTCCCTGCTAATGCACCTGGAAAAGGCAGCGGAAGATGGCCCAAGTGCTTGGGCCCCTGCCACCATATGGAAGACCCAGAAGAAGCTCCTAGTTCCTGGCTTCATCCTGGCCCAGCCCTGGTCATTGTGCTCATTTGGGGAATGAACTAGTGGATGGAAATCTCTGTGTCTCCCTCTCTCTCTCTCTAACTTTGCCTTTCAAATAAATGTAAATAAATACTGAAAAAGAATTGCTACTTGAGCTTGATCCCAGAGGAATCTGGGTTGCTTTTGATGATAGGCGTATGCTGGCTGGTGCTGATTCGGTCACTTTTCTGCTGTTGAGTGTCCAGGCCCTTTCTCCCCTTGGGACAGTGCTGTGCTAGACCTTCTCTGCATCTCCTTTGCACTGGGTTTTCTAAAGCATAGTGTGTGTGTGGACACATGTATTTTACATATTAATTGCTCTTCCCAAATTATTTTCCTAAAGAAATCTCAGTAACCAAAAATGTGTGCTTTTTCTTAATGTATAAGATTTGCCATCACGTTTTCAAGGTTATTACCATTTTCTTAGCAAGTGACCTATGATGGATCATTCTTAAGGGGAAAAGCCACAGCACTCTGTTAGAATGGTGAATAAAGTACCTGCAGACCTCTGGGAGTGAGTCTCCTGGTGGTTTTGTTTTGCAGTAATAAAGCATTCAGAAGATGACTGTCGCATGCTTGGCTTGCTTCCTGATATGTGGGCACCGTCCCCCATAGTCTCTTAGTAGTAGAAAGAAAGCAGTTTTGAAAGCTCAGTATAGTGAGCCCTGGCATAGCTTCAGGGTTGGGAGGATGGGTTTGATCGTTGCCTCCTGGCTGCTCTCCCCTCGGTGGGTCTGGGAGCAGGCTGGTGGGACTGGATGTCTTCTTCCAGAGTAGCCTTGTGAGGGTCCGCATGCAGGATGCTTTCACCACAGACATTGGCCAGTTGGCGTGCTCCATCTCGCCCTGAACATCGGCCCCCCAATTCAGTGTCCCCTTGTGTGTACCCAAGTGCCTGTAACCGCAAATGGAAGACACCGTGTGCTATAGACGGGAGATGACAGGCACAAGCGAGGTTCCTCTGTGGTTTTAAAAGTGTGTTTGCTTGAAATCTTTACTTAATATATACTAAATTGATCTTACATGTATAAAGATAATTGAAAATGAATCTTGATGTGAA